AGCTCAAAATCAGCCACCGTTATCAACGATGAGAAATCCTTCTCTCTGCAATTTTTAATCTATTTTCACTTCAAGTGTGTCATCATGGGAGCATCAGTGACGTCATTCCTGGAATAAAAAACCACCACATCAAACGAACCCAACCAAAAGAGCAGGGACGACGACTCATCATGCCTCTAACCTTTATTACTTCCTCCTTTTTGTCAACACAAAACAGAGACCTTTGAGAGCGAGCTGGATATAAAGGTGATCATTTTCTATTTTAAATCTTCACACTTCTCCTAATACTTCTCTTAATTGGAACCCATGGCAGAAGATAGGCTCGAAATTGTTCAGATTTTTTGAGTGCTTGCCCTTTCTAAAATTAAGATGACGTCAAAATCACGACGCAGTTTAAGAGAGGATCTATAGGCGCAAATATATATAATATTTTATCAGTGAGGAACATCCAGGAGGAACCAGTGCACGAGACGACGAACGAAACAACATTTCGATCAACATTGACATTGCAGAAGGATGTATGTATGCAGGGGAAAGTTGATGTGCCTCGTGGAGATTGAGCATAGAACCAACACGACCACGACCACTTGCACTCGTCGTGGATGTAACAATGGATGGGGAGAAAGCACAGGTGCACGAGGAGGAGGAGGTGGCGGTGACACTTTCTCTCAGAAAACGTCATCATGCATAATCAACCAGAAAAGTCACTCTCTCTTCTCCGTCGTCGTCGAGGGCAGCTCAGCTTCAAAATTGAATCATCACAAACGATGTCGTACTTTAGCTCCAAATTCATTAAATATTTTGAAAGGCTCAAAACCCAACGTCATCACATTCACATCGCCAATTGTTCACGTCACTCCACTCTTTCTAACTTTCTCTCCTCGTGTGTGGCGTGCTGTTCTCACGAGAGTTTAGCCCTCTCTCTCTCTCTGGGATTACAATCTGCTCTCTGTACTCGCAGCCGAGCAGGGAATGAGACGGAGGAAATGGGAGATAAGTTCTTGCGTAATCGACGAGTTTAAAAATGTCAAACACAAAGGAGAAATCAAATTAGGTTCTCGCTCCGCATAATCATAACACGGTTAGTGGCACGGGCTGAAGCACTAAAACAGCGAGTAGAAAAAAAAATAATAATGGAATTATGGACCCCAAAAAGCCACTACTACATATTTACTACGGTATACATAATGGCATACTATCTACATACATGCGATCCACAAAATACATTGCGCCTTATAATTTGTTTTGTTTTTGTCACTCTCATCGTCAAAATATTGTTATGCATAATTGTATTGTTGTTGAATAACCGGAAAGAAATGGTGGGCCCACGTCGATCGTCATACTTACATATTTGTGATGCGTAGATTATTATTATGAAAGATCAAAGCGTTAGTGGTGGTAGGAATGGTAAATGGTAAAATACAGAGCAATCATAATAATGCGGACGGACGGAGCTTATGTATTTCGATCGAGGCCTCCTATTCGGCCCAATTTATGCAAATGCAGAGCCAATATTCATTCATTTGATGGCTACGTTATCCAGAGGAGAGGAGACGGAAGCTCTGCTGAATAGTCTCCACATTATGTATTCCCAATGAGCAAAATGAGCAAAAGGTCAAAGTCAAGTAAACCGTGGGTTAATCATGTATCTCAAAATTTACATCACAATGCCACACCTTGATTTCTTGCCTTGGCCGTCGTCGTGCCGTGGTGAGCATTATTCTTGTGCAGTGGGCATAAAATCAGCAGAACTACTTATTTCGGCTCTCTTCCTCTTCTCTCTTGGGAGGTGAGGTTGAGATGAGACTTGACCGATGGAGTGGGGAACAGGATGGCGACAACCACCATGCAGCGTCCTCCTATGACCACGGGGATTTAAATATTATTGAAAAGTGGTTTATGATTAAAAACCTGTCTTCGCAGCCCGTAGTACGTACGATACGAAGAGCGGATAACATCTCTCAAAAATAAGTAAGTAATAGGCCAGACTACGCTGAGGAGAGTGAGCAATTGTCATCCTGTTCGAATCCTGGTTTGGTTGTGGGTTATAATAATCAGCAGAATTGTAATGGGATTTGCAAGGCCAAAGCCAAGCCTACGTTTTTAGTTCAACCATGGATCATATTGCTTCTTCTTCGTCTTCTTGTAGCACCTTGTGCAATATCCTGCTTGCTGCATCGTCAGTATAATAACCAAGTGAGACTACTACTGCCGCATTTATAAGTTTTGTGCTACATCAGGCCAAAAACACGTATTATTATTGGATGTCAGGCAGCAGGACCAATCAATATACATGCATACATATATCCACACAGACGACTCATTCACACTCGCTCCTCGGCGTAAATAGTTCCATATAGGCCACGTTATTCATTTATTCATTCATCACACAGCACCACAACAAAGTTATTGATCCGCACTCAAAGAAAGTCGCTTGTTCTTCGAAACAGAAATATGTATATAGGTCTCCTGCTGGTCAACCGAAAAGCTTCTCATTTTTTTAGCATGCATGCATTCACTATTCCGTCGGCCAGTGGCATTCTCATGTGACATTGCATGCAGTGGTTAGTGGGCGAAATTCGCATGAAATTGGAGTAAATCTGCATACGCTGCATACAAATCAGAGGAGAAGCAGGCTAAATGGTTTCTGTAATCCAGCATATGCAGCGTATGTATGTAGTGGAAATAGCACTTGACTTGAGCAGCTATGCTACATGGCTAAGCAAAGCAAATCCAACCCAAGAAGAAGACACCGGATTTCGTGTGAGGGATTTAAGTCAGATGACACTGTTTTGGCCGTTTTGGTTTAGAAAATATCTTATGAAAGGGATCACTCATACATGGTTTTGGCCACATTTCGTCTCCATTTCATTCAACTGTGGTCGTGGTGCAGCTCTTTTATCCGTTTAATCCTTTACACAAGTGGTTGTAGTAACCACGTCTCTCTGTAAATAGTCGCAAAAGCCTCTCTCTCTCTGCATGTGGTGTGGTCACAAAGTTCTTAAATGAGCCTGGCATGGATTATTTAATAGCAAATAGCAATGGCAACCAAAAAGCTGGCTTTTTGACTGGTCCCATTAACCGAGAGGACCGAGTGTAAAAGACTGAGAAGAGCAGCAGCATTTATTTCATTCTTTCTTTGCCATTATGATTTTATGAACGAAAGAGTCCTCACTTGGAGCTCATTGATGATATGCCTTGGTTTTCTCTCGGGGGCCCGTTCGCCAGCTCCCCTCCCTCCTTCATAAATCACTCCGCCATTCACTCCGAACTTGCTGCACGCCTCGGCCACCCTGCCCCCGTTCCCCCCATCGACCCAACTTCCCCACTGCCACAGCCCCACAGCCAGGTCCGCTCCCCCAACCACTCCTAGCGCCCAGGTCGCAGGGCGCGGCGAGGAAGACGGCGCCAAGGGAGGAACTAGCTGCCTCTCCTAAATGTTGAGGGGTTGGATGCAGTGGTTCGGTCCATATACCTATCTGCACTAGCACTACTATATACGTAGGTGTTTTATTATTGATTTTCAAAAGGTATGTTCCGCACTGTTTCTGACCAAAATTTTGATGAAATAACAAACTTTAGATACATCTAGGATGCTGTGATTTTTTTCAGCCCTTTAGGTTAACATTAACACTAGCAATAAATCAGCAAACTTTACCTCGACGGAAAAATGTCACATTTGCAAATTAAACATCGTAGTGTGATTTAAATTTTATTGCTGGAGGGGCAATATGTGTCGCAGATTTATGATTGAATGCTTAAAGTTTACGATGGAAACTGCTCAACACAAAGCACAAATACAATTGGGTCGATAAGTTCAAATAAAGGCGAAAAGATGTCCCAGACAAAAAAGTCGCCAGGATACCCAAAATCGGTTTCCACCGCAGAAAACCTCCAGAAACTTAAAGACCCAATTATTAGAGATCCACGATTGAAACTGTCCTATTTAGCAGATGAGATGGGTGTTCCAAAACCAATAATTTGTTCCATGTTAACTGAAGACTTAGGTATGAAAATGGATTCCTTCTGTTGGGTATCAAAATTTCTTTTGGCATCTCAAAAACAAGATCGAGTTGCTTTTGCAATGCAAATTTTGAGCTTTTAAATGAATACTGGAACCTGTATCATATTTTAGTAGTTGAATAAGATACTTGGGTTTACTATTATGACCCGACGACCACACAATAATTCATGCATTGGAAGCACGGGGGATTTCCACCACACATAAAAGGAAAAGTGCAAAAATCTGCCAAAAAATTGATGATGATCAGTTGGAAGGATACCAAAGGTCTCCTCCTTATAAAATTTATTGCTAGAAATACTACGATAAATGGGGTCGCGTATGCAGGAACCCAAAAGGAGCTGCGTTCTGCGGTTGAAAAGAAACGCGGGGTCAAAATATAGAGTTGGCCTTTTTTTAGACGACAACGCGCCACCAAATACCTCACTGTTTTAGAGAGCTGATGCCGACGAAAATCGTTTTACCTGCACAGACCACCCCCCGTGCAGTCCAGACAGGACCCTTAGTGATTATTATCCGTTTCAAACGTTGAAGAAAAACATCAGGGGGAAACGATTTTAGGATGATAATGGAATCAAGTCGTAAATTTTTGCATATTTTCGAGGTAAATTTCGATGATTTGTTGCGGGTGTTTCTTTTAACCGATTGAGCTGAAAAAAATCACAACTTCCAAAATGTTTTTGAAGTTTGTTATTTCATCAAAATTTTGGTCAGAAACAGAGCGGAACATACCTTTTGAAAATCAATAATAAAACACCCACGTACACAACAAACCGTGTGTGTAGCCTGATGCTGCTGAGATGATCTTCAATTTCACCAAATGCCGCTCTTTGTGGGGACTCCACCCACGCCACCAACAAGTTTGTGATCTTGGGCAGCGTCGTGGTGTCCAACGAGGCCTGCGAGGACGGGATGGATGCCGAACCCCCCTTCATTCTATGCATGCATATAACTGGCGAGGAGTATATGAGAGAACCTTGCTTTGGTTGAGTAGTGGTGAGCAGCAGTGAGTGTGGGATAGTTGGCGAGCGAGTACAAAAGGCAGGCTACCAAAGCACCCGGATTCGGATGAACTGGGAACTTCGGGTGTTATCGTGGTGTTGGTGGCAGTATCAGAGGGAGAGAGAGAGATAGAAACCCAGTTGCTCCTTCCCAGAGCACTAGTTCCAACCCGAAGTTCGAGGCACTCAGTCAGTCAGTCCTCACTCCGAAAAATTTAGTGGATCGGATTCCCCGGAGAAAGTGCACCACGAAAAATCCTGGACCAGACCAAGGCAATTAAACCGCAGCATTAACCACGTTGGAACCAAACAAGTTTTTAATTCCAGTTGATTGAGATAAGGTGTATACAGTTTCCGTCGTCCAATTCAGTTTGAAAAAATTTGAACAAATTACGAAAATTAAAAATATGGTAAATTTAAAAAATGACAGCTAAAAACAGTGAACTAGTAACTATTGTTGGAGTGGTGAAATCTATTTTATTTTATTGGGAGAGAGACGGTGCAGTGTCAAGTAAATCTAGTATAAGGAAGGAGCAGAGAACCCGGATTTTGTGAATAGAGACCGGATTTTAAAAATCGTGTGAGGATATTCATTAAATGAACTGGAATCAATTTAATGGGCTGACTATTAAGATTGGCAAAGTGGAGCAGAGGTCGTAACGTTGCTCATACTATATAATTATTCGTACCACTGCTATAATTGATAATGGAGACGAAGGGGAGTGACGAAAACCAAAGTCTCCATCCTACCGGAGTAGACATATAATAATAATTTTCTTGGTATTTGTATAAAAAAGCAGCTGAATGAAGAACCCACGATGAAAATGGAGAATGAAAATGCAGCTGCACTCCTATTACTAATTAGAAGATAATAATACTAACCAGCAAACTTTGTGAATAGTTGAGCCACTACCATGCAACTACACCATCGACAACAGTAGTAATAAAATGGGAAGAATAAGACAATACAAAAGTGCAGCTATTATTCCTCGTACTAATTAAATGCAGCTTCACCTCAGCTCAGAAGAGACGAGTGGGAGTGGGAAAGACTAATTACCACGAAGGGCGAAGGTGAACGAACGGTATGCGAAGTGGAACAAGGGACGGGAGTGGAATTTAAAGTGGTCGAAATTGAGCTGGAGAACAATACCCAAGTCACAACGAGGCCGAAAACGCTATCGTTGAAGATCATCACCCCCCCTCCGCTCCTCCTACACCCACCTCCACCCCCTCCAAAGAACACCAAGCAGACCCTCTTGGAGGAGGAAGGCGACATGTCCGAGAGTCATGACGAGTAAGTTGCCTAACCCTCTTCCTTTCTACATATTCACATAGATCATTCGTCCAGGAAGTCCGTCCAGCATTTGTTAACTTCTTATTTACAGCCATTTAACTGCATATTTCAAAAATAGCATCGTTCGTTTTTACATGGAGCTGTTATCTTCGTCGAAAACTGCAGTAAACACATGCATGGTCCATATATGATGGGCATTGCAATATGTAATTAATATAAGATCCGGAAACTCTGCCACTACGAATGGGTTCACAGACTTTTCCTTGTCTTGTGTGATATCTGGATTTGTGTACGTGCAGATCTTAATTGCATCACACCCGATAATCAGTCCGCCTCTTTCTTTTGTACTTTTTGTCCTGCTCGCATCGTTCTTACACATATAAGCAGAAGGAAAAGCACACACCCACCCCACCCCACTAACCAACTAATAGTTCAAGTAATGTAATAATGGGATCTGTAGTGTTCTTACTCATCAATGATTAAGGCTTGTTGACTGTTGACATTTTGTCACATTGTTGTATGCGATTTTGGTATGACAATACAATGCAATAAATTATCAATCAATCAGATCTGGATGCTTTTGTACTATTACCCTCAACTGCTGTAAAAAAACGAAAGGGAAACGAATGAGATTACATGCTTATTACAGAATTAATAGTTAAGACGTAAGGGACGTTCCATTAATTATGTCACGCTGGTTAATGTTGGCAAGATAGGGGCTTTTCCCTATCCCGTCCATGTTAGCCAGCGTGACATAATTGGTGGATCTTCCCTAATGGGAGTTATAATTTAATTATATTGAAACGACGCATTGAAAAAATAATTTATAACTTGTAAATTATAAGTGAACTTTGGTTTAATAAAAAGCATCCCTGTTCGATCGATGTATGTTAGTATGCCTCCTCTACGAATCTAACGTGTAATCGAATTGTGAGATTTCGAATCCTAAGTTAACATCTATTCTACAGTTTTGTTTCTTTGTACTCGTATTAGTTTGAAGTGTTGAACCGCTTACGGGGTTCAAGGCTTATGCACTTGATTACTTTACAGCTGAGGTAGCAAGATAACGATACACACTAAAGATGATTAATCAAGTTTAAGGGCGTCGAGTATTTCATCATCTCTTTCAACGTGGTTTTACAGTAAATGAAAATATTTGAAGACCAGGAAAATGTGCATATGATGATGAACGACACAAAAATAATTGCACTCTTGTTTTCTTGTCGTGCTTATCATCTTCTTATCGTGTTAGACGATTAGGAATCCCGAATTTTTACAACCCTTCCGTAATTTTTTTTTAAATGAGGCGATTTTTGATTTTATGTAACACAAGTATATCACATGAATATCTCGACCAATTTGTAATGAAAGTTGCATTATGCAACTGTATTAGTATTTTATATACAGCAGTTTACGAATCATAAGTTGAGCCACAAAAAAAGGCAGCAAGTTTCTCATTATTCTTAATCAACTCTAATTTCCCGTTCTACTATTTAACTTCAATCCTGAATAGTAGTAACTAGATATGCGACGATAGTGTCATCATCATCAGAGCATATGTACAGTTACCTCTCTCTTAGAATTAGAATTAAACACTTATTTGTGTTTTTTCCAGGCTTCAAAATCTTATTAAAGACAAGGAAAATAATTTTACTACTAGCATACTTCGGAAATATGTATTAAAACAAAATTAACTATTATTAAAATCAACTATTGACTTCAGTCGAATAATGTCTGGATCGTGATAGGTTTCTCAGAGAAATATAAATATCGGGGGAGAGGGGATGGGGTAAATAATTAATCATTAGAAACATTAGATCAGTGTACTTGTAAATGAAAATGTCAATGAATGAGCTGCAATAATACAAATTACATAAGCTTTATTTATTGTTATTGGTAAAAGTTTAAAAAAATGCATCTTATTGCACTTGTTCATTGTTTCACAATTTCCCCCTTGTGAATTTGAAAACAATGCAAAACATTATTGTTCCTTCGAATTATTGAATTAGGTTAGTTTTATTCATCACACTGCGTCTGTGTACAAATAAAATTTGTTTTGACTTGTAAATAGTGTAATCAAACGAGCAAATTTAATAATCAACATAATTTGAACTAGGTTCGGATTCGTGTTGCATCGTGTCGTGTATATACATAACTTGTATTCATGCGTGATATTTTTTCGTAAAATGACAACTTTATAGTTTCTTCTTTGTATGAACGAATTTATGGTCAAGTGAAAACAATTGATAAAAACAGGATAAGGCTATCATGAATTTGACGGGGTTAGTCGAATTTACTAAATTTCATGTTTATGTCAATTATCCAAATTTCGAGGTCAACAGGAATACTTTTCTGTACACAAATTTAATTAATTAAAACTCATTAAATTGTAAATAGATGTGTGTTTTGAATATCGATAAGTACGATAATACAAATATCTGTATATACTCTCTGCGACGAACAGATTCTACGTTTGTCAGATTATTATTACAATTATAACAAGGTTACTATTACCATTTTCCATTGGGGGTTTGTCAGTGAACAGAGCAATTGCTGTCTTCATCACGAATGGCGTATAACTTGCACAATTGAGTCTGATAATTCTCAAATCTGAAAAATACTCGAGACAATTAAGCGTGTCGTCGCATGAAATTAGCAATTTGTTGTTATATAATTTGTCAGTGTCATAAACGTCCTTGGAAATATTTGCTTACAATCTCCTTAGATGTTATATAAGATAAAAGGTAGTCATTTCACGGACGTGTTAAATTTGTTTGTTGTACTGTTTTGTGTCAAGAAAGCTCGACATGTCCGGCAGAGCTAGTCATCTAAATTTTTCCATCTCACACCTCATATGTCCTTGTGTAGTTAGAGTTGGGGAGGAGGTGAAGTAGGTCCATTTTGACCAGAGAGCCGAGAAAGCCTCTCTTTCTTTCCTCTTTTGGTTCTTCTTGGAGAGAGGAGAAGAGGTGCGAGGGAGCGTGGGTTGGAGTGCGGAGAAAGTTGGGAGAAAGTGAGTTTGGCCAGGATTGGCTGGAGCTTGGTGGCGACGGTGGCAGGCATAGGTTGGAAGATCTTGGAGGCTGGCTCTATTCTACCCGTTACCTCTGCCCACCAAGCCCACGTGATTTCCAAAGGGGTTGTTGGAGAGAGGACAAGTTTCCGTCGACGTGTCTCCCCTCGCCCCACCTCAAACCTCCTCCTCTCACCTTCTCCAACAGCTTTCCCCCTCAAACTCATCATTAATAACGGTCAGACTAGAGAAGTTGGTTAAGATGATTACTAACACATTGTTGTATATTATTATTGTCTGTTTGTTGTTGTCCCGCATCCCCGCATAAAATTATATTTGTGGCTGCTCGGCGTTCGGTGAAAGTGCATTACTTGACCTGCCTGCAAATTTATAAATCAAATATCATGTTTCAGCTCACTAATTGCATGATTTATTGAATGCTTTTTGGGGAAGGAAATAATTTGCATTCCACAGGAGGTTCCACCATATTTATTTACCGTATTTTTAGCTCTCCAGAACTTGAGTCCTTTTCCTTATCCAGGGGGTTTGGGGTACGAAATTCTGACAAGTTTGATTACATGTTCTCTCGTAATTTGAATTTTGCATATTTTGCACTCGAAATTCACATGTTTATTCTTTGCTGTTAATTTTTTGGTCTTTCACCAAAACGTAGTACTTAAACGTAGTTGGAGTCGTCTGCATGAATTAGTAGCCTCACCAGATCTCGCCGTGTAAAGAAATGCTGCAGGAAGGAAATTACATAACGATTCTTAAAATACTCATATTTGGTATTTGAGAATGAGAAATAACCCAAACATTCTTACATTACTATAATTAGTATAATTTTTTACAAATTATAATTTCAGCAACCCTGATGAAGACAATGTTAGAAAGCTTGGTTCTCTAAAAGTTAAAGTTTCGAGTATTAGTTTTTTAATTAAATACGGAATCGCTAATAGGTTAAAAAGTTTAAATATTAAGTTTTGAATATTAAATCCTCACACCGTAAATAACATTATTACAATATTATTATAAACATAAGCATTACATATTTATTTACATCTACTTGCGATACAAATAAATATTTGGATGATGCCTGATGGGTGACACTCTTCCTTTATCCTGTTGTTTGTATACTTGGGTTGTAACGACGGTACAAGTGGCATTCATTCATCATGCCTTTTTATTGTTTGATTGAAGAAGGGTCCTCTCCTATTTAGCTATGCAACTGCATCGTGCATGTCGCAGGGAAGCATTATGTTTGAACAATGCTGGGAGTAGTGGCGGAGCTGAGATTGGTGGTGGGGGAGGAAATGATTGAGCCGGAAGCTCTCTTTTCCTGTCCATATTTATACTCGGGCGTTCGGTCAGCCGCCGCCGCCACTCCGGAGGTTTTAAATTGAATAGAATTTGCTGCTGGTGGTGGCAAGCTCTCCTCTGACCTGTAGCCACCTGGACGACCCTCCATTGTTACACCAACGCCGACATATTTTTAACTCAATCTAACAAAACAAAAGCATCCTGCATGGTTTGTGGATTTCACAATGAGTTATTTCAGTTCAGGACGTACAATCTCGCAGTGATCAAACAATCCTGACATTTCGCATTAAATATGACAAAAGATGAGATAATATAGTACAGACTCGAATAAAGAAAAAAAAAAGTTTCGGATGGATGGATGACAGTCAGTCGTCGCTGGCTTGGTAGATTCTTATTATTATGCGACGATACGACACGGTAGAGTTTTGGTTCTTAGCTATTCTCAAGATTCACATTTATGTCAAGTAGTAAAGGTTGCATTAAATTCACCTCATCATCGACTTCGTAGAGTTGCATATGTTTAGGTTATTTTGCTCGTTAATTGTTACAGAATCCATTCATTCCAGCAAAAGCAAACCACCACATTCTACCGGATTTCCTGCCAACAAAAATTGCCGACGTGTTGACTCGTTCATTCATAAAATCCTCGTTTCATTTGATGAATAAACCAACTTGTACTTTTGGCTTTGACAATATTTGCCATATTGCCATAAGTGAGCATTCTTTGGCATAACCTGAAAGACTGAAATTTTACGAAGAAAAATTATAACATCATATTTTAAGATATGGATGCGGGTGAGGACTTTATTGCAACAGAATGTTTTCATGCTTCAGTTTAAGTTAGTCTGACGGGTAGTTACTATTTAGTTGTATGTTTTTGAATGTCGGACTCGGAGTGTGGGAATATTCTGAGAAACCTACTCCTCCTTATTATTATTGGGGTGGAAGTGGAGAGACGAGGGTGAAAAGTAGTAAGCAGCATATTTTGTGTTGTTTCTCTCCACTCTGCTCAACTAGATACTTGATGAACGACGAGATGTTTGGAATTTTTGGTCTTCAACGTCCATGTACTACAACTGTAAGACGAAGAATCCAGCTGCATTGCCATATTGCCAAAATAAACGCATTGGGACGGACAAATGCCAACTTTTCTTTACTCCGAGTCGCAAAACCGTATCGTCTGGGTGAAGGGTAGTTAAGTTAACAAACTATAACAAACCCCAGCAGAAGAAGCAGAGTCGCATGCATCCCTATCCTGCTGGAATTTATGGTATTGTTATAGGTTGGAAGACAAAAATGTTGATTGTACTATTGTTCCAGATTCTGGTAAATTACACACGAAACAAGTTAAGCCGACTTGAGCTCTGAGATTATCAGCAATTACCACGACTTTAAAACTTTGAAGAGACATGGAAAACTCACAACTCGGCACATTGGGCACGTCATTTAGTTATAAAAACGGTTGTTAGTTGGTGGTGGTGTCGGGCTGACTGGAAGATGTTCAGATTTTCAGAGATGAGACTCACATCGTCGTCGTGACATTGGATGCATGGTTGGTGAGACGAGATGATGAGACGATGGAGGAGCTGCTGCTGCTGGGGTTGATTCTGGTTGGTGGTGAAGAAGATTCAGCAAAATAAAAGTCTCATCTTAAATCTCGGATGGTAAAAGTAGACATGAAAAAGCAGCAGTTGAAGTGGTGGTGGTGGAGTTGTTTTTTTGGACAAGGATCCATTGATCAACTTGCGTGCGTGGGTGGATAACTCTCCTCGCTCATCTTCTTCTATGTTCTTCTTACCCACTTGGTAAAAAATTAAACTTTTCTTCTCCACCACCAAGTCGGAGGGAAATAAAAGTAAAATCTATCCACCTTCATTTCCAACTCCATCCACCACCACCAGGATACCACCCTATCTCAAAAAGACTCGAAAATCATGACATGTAGTCTGCATAATTATAAACGTCGCACTGTGCCAATATGCATATACAACTTTACAACAATGCAGCTTATTCTATGTAGCCTGCTAGAGCACCCGTTTTGGGCAATGTGAGACGGGATGATCTTGTTCTGAGAAAACTGAGTTGGTTAATGGAAGTTTTTCCAGTTTGGCTTCTACGACAAGATCCTGGACTGGTGATGGAAGGGATGGTAATGGTAATCCCCGCATAAAATAATGTTTGTTTGGTAGGCAGAGATTTTTGGTCGGTGACACACCTCGTTCTCAAACTCACCCACTTGATCACGAAATAAAATGTGCCCAATGAAAAGAAATGCAATTCTCTGCTCAATAAATCAGATCAGGTTTTCCTCTCCTTTTTGTCTTGCATATGTACCAGTGCAGCAGCGAACGAGTAGTGTAACGCATCCAACCATATTAAACACGACGCATAGTAATAACAATGTAATGGGCCTGTTTAGTAGGAGAATTGGCTTGAAAAAGTTACATGTATTTTGCTAGCTATTTTTTTGTCGAGCTCATCCACACCACAAAAATTGGATTTACCATAATTGTGTGCGATTTTGTAAACTCTATCTCACTCTGAAGAGAATAATGAAAAATGCAAGCAACATTATTACACCAAAAATACACGTATAACTAACAAACCAACTTATTATTCTAGTTAATAGTTCATCCTGCTCTTATTGGTTTTGATTCGTTTGTTTGATGCTATATACATACGTACATTTTCTCATTTTGGAGCGAGGCGCAGGTTGCTGGGATTTGATGAAAATGATGATTACAATACCGGATCTTTGGTTTGTGAACCCAAGTCCAAATCCAACTCTTGCCTGCATTGCTTTATTTTGTACCATTTAAACAAAACAAGGACAATACGAGATTATACTTTTTGACCGGGGTGTTGGTTGGCAGAGTTTCATTACAACCAGGAGGGAATGCACAACAACCCATTAAATAATAGGATGCATATGTACATAAGCTAGTATTTGGCTATAATGCAATTTCAACGCCCTTCATTCAGGCCTTCTTTCGGAAAGTCGTGTTGAAAGCAGTTTATTTACGGCACAAATCTCCGAACCGGATGCAATTTCATAACAGAATGTTATTAGTATGAATAATGGGTGGAATTGCTTCAAGGATGATTCGATTAGGATTATGTCTCAAAATTTTTGATCTAAGATTTGACCCCATCCCCCGATGTAGGGGGCTAAATAATACGAGACTAAATAGTATTTTTCTTTGCAGTGGCCAGTCCTTGGTTCGCGTTCGCGCACAAGTGATGACTCGTGATGATAGTTCAGGTGGCTGGGTAAGCGATTAGCAAATACTCATCAAAAATTTTGGAGACTATTTTGAGCAGCGGAAATTTATCAACCCTTATCCTTTGTCCCGACAGGTTCCTCTTGGTGGCGGAGGGCTCAGCAACGTGTCCGTTTGCAAGAAAACCCCGGACAAAAACGAGTATCTCATCCACGGGAAAAGGATTTCCGACCAGTCGGTGAGTGAGAAATTTTTCTTGATATTCATAACCATGACCGAATGATGACGATGAGATATTTATTTCGTATTATATTTATACACTGGATGTGAGACTTGTTGAGGATGTGAAAATCGTATGAATGACTGACTCCTCACAACCAGGGCGATTTTAAGCATTGTGCATACTTAACTCGGAATTATCACAATAATGATATTTATTAGTACATATTGCATGATGAGATTTTAATGTTCTGTTCACAATTTTACAGCTTGTCCTGAGTTGTACGATAAAGAAGGACTTTGAGTACAATAAAGTAATGCCAACGTTCCATCATGTGAGTAAATATTTTGATTTATTACAATATATAATGATAAAAGTCAATTTTCATAGTTGCACTCATGTCGCTAATTTAAAAAATTGTCACCTTTCGTAACACGAGTGTGACAGAGATTGACTGGTTTCGTCTCTCTCTAACAATTTGTATTTATCTATGTATCAGTGGAAAACTGGAGAGAAGAAATTCGGACTGACTTTCCAAACGGCGGCGGATGCCAGAGCATTTGACAAAGGCGTTTGCATCGCAATTGAAGACTTACTTGATGGTAATAATACTTTTTAATGGTACTCATAATTTTAGTGAATCCCAACCAAACCCATCCCCTAAACATAATCTTTCAAATCTTCTCCGACAAACACGGCACACAACTTGGTACACTCTGTCGTCTCACTTTCACCCAAAAGAAGGGTGAAAGTCCGTATCTATAGTCAGTTAAAGTTATAGTTATGTAAAGGAAATGTGTTTTCTTTCCTCTTATTGCTGCTTCTTTTATGGCAATGGAACTCATACGTGGTAAGTTTCGTCATGCCTCAATGTCAGTAAAATTTGTACAATTAGTATAGATGTAAAATATGTATTATTTTGGTATTAAATGTGAAGCAGTGTCTGGTTTGTGAGTGAAAGTCGAGTCTAAAAGTATTCATTTCCGCAGGTCTTTCCCCTTCACTAAAACGGAAAAAAGAAGTAGGAGAAGATGACGTTTTTATGGTAAAGAACATTGTTTAATTAATTGTCGATAATTCTAGACAAGTATTTTGAACCAGTGTAAATAATATGATAGTGACTAACACGCTGTTACAAATGTGTACAGGCCCTGGATCTTCCCGTGGAGCGAGATTCGATATCTTCTGGCTCGGGGAGCGGAACGGGTTCCAACCACCAGTACCCACCTCACTCCCATCTCCACCGGATGTATTTCTCCTCGAGGACAGGGAGCAGGGAGGGCAACAACGGGGGTGGTGGTGGAGTTTTGGTGAAGGAGATGCACTCAGTCTCCTCGAAAGACAAAATATCCGAAAAGGACATTTACTGTTGTGACAAAGACCTGAGGGACGACGAACCTTACTCGTCCTACGTCCAATTTGCCCGTGAATACACGCGTCCCCATGAGTATTCCTACCCCGTAGTTCAACCTGATAAGAAGTACAGCCCCTCGTCTGACCTCTCCAACTCGTTGTCACTGGGAGGAATGACGTTTTCACCAAAGAAGCCTCTGCAGCTGGACCCCCTGAGCCTCCAGCCACCACCCCTCCTCCCCACAAAGTCTACTGGGAGCACGAAAAAGAAAAGGTGCTTTTTCATTTAAACAAAACTTTTCTTAACGCGCTTCTGCTCTCGAGTGCTATCCCAGTTCTCAACGTTCACTCACTGTTCGTAAACTACCACCACTTCACAAGTATTCGTCACTAATGAAAAAATGCGATTTATTCATCATCTCATCTTTCATGGGGGTGCAACAACTTGATAATTTTACAACGTTGGACACCCCTCTTTCCGTCCAAGCTTCCTCTCAAGCCTTGGGAGGGGTTGCAATAACATCATTTAACGCAGATGTCTTATGGCAACGCGAGCACCACGCCCGAAAATCGGTGCGGTGCTTGTAATTTTCTCCTCTCTTTTTACTTGTCTGTGTTTCTGTTGTGTTGTTGTTGGCGCATTATGTATAGTAATTCTGCTTTTTCGGATGTATGATTTTAAAAAAAACTTCTGCATCCATAATCTCTCAGCTTTTTAACATCCTAGCTCCTAGTAAATTTGTATACCGATTGCAGACAATTACCTTCATAGCCTCATACCATAGCTGGAAGTACTTACGAAAATGCAGAAATTACTTATCATAGAACAGTATAAGAATGTATCAGCTGTTTTCTTGTTGAGTGAGGGACATATTTGTACTTATATATTTCTATTTGACCTTAGGACATGTGGTAAGAAGACGCGATGCAGAGACTGTCACGAAGTGTATAGCGAAGACTGTAACCCACGAGGTAAACCTCTTACCATTATCTTGCATGTTCCAAAAGTTATTGGAATCCTTGATTTAACAATATGTTTTAAATATTAATTTGTAGGATCGTGTTCATCAGGACCTGATGCCATTCGTGATGGGATAGACGCAGTGTCGTGCATGGGATGTGCTCGAGGGATGTTGTACCACTGCCTGTCGGGGGAAGAGGGGGAGGTGCCACCACACCCTTGTTCCATTCGACACCATCGCTGTGTCCGCCGCTGGATTGCTCTGGGCCTCCTCTCAATATTCCTACCGTGCCTCTGTCTCTACATCCCTTTCGCCTCCTGCCATCGTACGTTAATAACCTTTAATACACCTCTACTTGAGTGGGATGAGTAGTGTTTAATTTATACTAACGTTTGCATTCCCTACTTTTTATGCAGGTGCAGCAAAATCATGTCATATATGCGGAGCGCGGCATCACCCTTCCTAGTCCACATTTATCCAGTAGACATTAAGGTTCACTATGGATAATAACCACGTAATTGTAATAGTTGTTCAATACCATCCACAGTAAGTGGTGGTCGCACTCCCACAAAAGAAAACTCACAAAATGTCATCACAACAATATCCCCTCTCTCAAACGCTCAAATAGTTTCATAAACTCTCCACAAAAAAAACAACAAAACAAATAAGCGTCAGTCAAGTCTCGAAATATCACTGCACCGCATGATGATGCGACCTATTACTGTGGCTGTGAGATAATCCATCGGCCATCATCAAACTATTTATTCCTTCATTCGCTCTTCTTGGATAAGAATTCATAATAATGATAAATTAATAAGGCCAAGCTGCTGCGCACAATTTCATCTTCATCTTCAACCCAAAAATCATCATCAGCAGTCTGTTCGACAGCGATGGCAAGACTACTCTGTAATCTCAACTCATCACCATCAACCCACGCCTATACTCCATCAGAAGATGAAGAAGAGGAGAACGAAATTAATAGTAGTGGTAATAGCTCCGTTTTTTGTAATTTTTCGGAATTCATGCAAGTTGTCAACTTAGTTCAGTATTCGACGGTATCTAAACTACCAATATTATGCAATTTATTTACCGCAGAAAAGCATTTATTTACTTGATTGATATTTATGTCGTAAGGATCCTGTTAATTGATAAGACTTATAAGCACTGAAACCTACTGGCAGGTTAATTAATAATCAAAAATCAGGACGATTTTTGAAACGAAAAAAGGTTTACACAAATGTGATACTTCGTTTCGTGTGTAATCTCATTCATTATTTTTATGAAAATTATGTGTAAGAAAGTGCGATACCTGTGTTAGTGGCAGCAGATGCATTGCATACGAATAATATTCATTTACAAGTCAGGTTCATAACGTCTTTTATCTCACTAAATATTTACTGCTAGAAATATGTTATTATTATCACTTTTCGTATTCTAGTTCCCCTCCTACTCTATATTTTTTCATTATTTTGCAATCTTCCTAGACAAAATTTTCAGTTACTTACATAACTGACATAATTACAACTATCCTTTAATTCGCTAGACTTTTCCCTGTTATATTGCTAAATGTTATATTATCATAATACTATTGACTTTATTATAATTAAATATTCCTCTGTCAAGATGATGCTTGATCATTACGTTCTTTCTCAAAGATGCTTTCAATTTCCTGATTTCGGTTGGATGCTGAGGGAGGGGAGGGGGGATTTTTACGTCACAGCAGCAGAGAGATACATTTATACAATCATATTATTATTTAGTTTTAGTGAAAATGAGTTATATTATTGCGCCGTTTACAATTTAATCGAAATATACAAAAATGGATGTTATTTATTAAATTTGCAATTTCTTTTACAATCAAAAACCTCAAAAAGTGAAAATAAAAAAAATGATAATATCGAAAAAAAATTGAATTTCACATGGAATAACAAAAACATTGATTTGACACATTTTGATTATAAAACATTCATAATCATTCAGACAATAAATAAATTGTTAGAATTCGAGTTTGATCTCATATGAAAGTGCAGGAATGGCATCATGAATACATCATCATTGCATTATTAAATAAATAACTATAAGGAAGTTGAGAAACAGAGGAATTATCGATTGTAATACTGGAAATTTGAGTTGATTCCTGACTCCACTTTGGGACCCATTTGCAAATTCACTGACTGGCGATTCGAGTTGAAAGTAAATCCACTGAAATGTGCCCCCATTGGCATTGCATACCTACAACGCATATAATAATGAGAGAGACGAAAGATTAAAAACCATATTTACTAAGAATTGTGATTCTCTTATAAATGATTATAATTTTATTTAATTCTCTTACGGATTGACATCTGTCTCGTATAGAAGATTTCTGCCCCAGTTGTAGTATTCCGCCTCCGCTGCTCGGTGAATTTCAATATGTTCGAATCCAACGAGTTCCTCAGGTATAAGTTCTTCATCCGGGATAACATCGAAGATGTCCATAAAATTTTTTTGGTTACCATCTCCTCCAGTTGAATTCTTCTTGCCCGCTTTTCGTCCCCCGGCTCCACGACGCTTCTTGGCTATCGGAACAGCATGCGCAGAAGATTGTGCCTGATTCGAAGAGAATGGCGAAGCCAGGATAGAAGAATCTTCCGTTTGATGAACTCGAGACTTTTTAGGCTCCTTTTTCACAACCAAATTTGGGTCCTTGATTTTTTTAGGGCGACCTCGTTTAGGCTTAACTACGGCCTCGCCTGTTCCTTCTTCAACCTTGATCGGTTGAGCCTTCTTTCTCCCACGACGACCCTTCTTCTTCAGTTCTGCCTCCGGAGACGACGAAGAGATTGAGGGTATCATCATTTGCTGCTCAACTATGTCCATTTTTATATCAGATGCAGTCGGACCTAATCAAATATAAATAAATAACATTTAATTAAATAAATTAAGTCGCAAATGAATTGTAATGCCACTTGACTTTATGCATGCTTCAATGGACTATTTTTAAATACTTACTTGTCACGAATTGGTGAGAAATTTGAATATTGGAAATTTCTGAAAATAATTTCGAGAATAAATTGAGAGAGATGACGGAGGAACGAACCACACAAGTTGGAAGTGACGGAGTAATGAGCCGGCCTGGCCTGGCTGGCTGTGCTTCTGCGAAAAAAGTCTGCTTCCATTGACCTCAGCCAGGTCGTTGGCATGGCAATAAACTTTGGGCCAAAAACTAAAAACCATGGTAACATCGGGTTTTCCACCCGATTTCCGTGGTTTATATTTTATGAATGTGGTTTATGTTTTATGAAAATAAAGTGGGTTTCCAATTTTCCACCATAATTATTCATGTATTTGTAATTCATAAATTTATATAATAGTATAATAACTATTTGTTATAAATTTTGAAATAATATGCGCATGTTATTATTTGTATTGAACTATATATTTACATTTTGGGTTCCCTTCCAACGGGACACAAGTTGGAGAAGATTTTTATAAAGTTTTCTGTCTTTTATTGTATGAATATTATGTATATTTATATTCATTTCATTCCAAGTTCAAAAGTCAATAATATTTACACTAATATATGATTATATTGCGTTTTGAATAAAATAACTAAATTTTAAATTGAATAAATATTTATAATTTATGTTCATACATAAGTCAGATGATTCGAAGTAAGAATTGCAATATCTGACGCCTATCCGGATCAAGTAGAGGTTTTCCTGGTTTATTCTTTTTTCATAGTTATATATTAACAGTAATGTAAATTTTGCTATTTAAATATAAGCCATTTTTATTTTATAAAACATAAAAAGATTAATTTTTACTAAACACAAACACATTCGGGTTTATCTATCCTCTCACTCAAACCCAAGCCAACTATGTACGTGCATTTTATATTTTATCAATGTGTTTGTTTGAATAAAAGAAACTGGGTTATAAAAAATAAAAATAATAGCAATTAGTTTATACTAAATAGGATAACAATTGAAAGATAAACTGCTAACTTTGGGCGACTTGCAATTGAATCATGGAATGAAATGCATACTCATAAATTTTAAACAACTGAACTTTCCTTTTATTATCATTCAATTCATTCTTGGCTATTTACAAAAAACCCAAAATGATAAATAATATTGATTATAAATTTTGACTTGTGTAAAGCTTGTACTATTTCATGTTTTTTTAGGAAAGGAATTTCTGGTAGTGAGCTCAGGGAGGATTATAAATTGATTGTAATTTGAGCAAGCTCAGATCAATAATGAAATATTTTCGTAGCTGTAATAATATATTCGTAACACAATACAAAATTTACAAAACTTGGTCACGTGCAGAGACGCTGTCGTCAGTCTGGTCGGATTTCAAACCACTTTAAAATTATAGCATACAAGTAAATAAAAAACTTTTGGTATAAAATTGGCATATTCTATTATTCCTATATTACGAATGAATTTGGGTTAGGAGCAGAGTGATGAAATGTTCCTGTTCCTTAAACCATTGTTTGAAGAGGTGTTTTGGTGTGGGGCGTGGGCGGTTGCTGTGAGTGAGTAGAAACTCCAGCAGTGAGAGCGAGGACTTGGTCCATGATTCTTTTGTAAGCCCAGGAATCCCCTCGAACTCTCTTACGACGGATGCCGATTACTTTCAGTTCATCAATGTAAACCACTTCCAATTCAAACTTGACGGAGCTGCTCTTGCTTATCAATCGATAACTGTAAAAAAAAGTATGAGGCATAAATAACACATCATCATAGTCGTTGATGTAAGTGCATACCCCTTCTGACTACAATCCATTCCGATTCTGGAAAGCGACGCCTTCAGTTCGGCAATGACTGATTCAGCATCAGTGCTATCAGTTGTAGAAACGTTGTTTGCACCCTTTTGTATTGAAAGATTTAAGGAAATATTAAACATTAAACATATAATACATATACAATGCATATCGGTAAATTTTTCTGATTATTTTAATACCCTGCTATGAGTAGCCAAAGATCTAGGTTTCTTAAGTTTGTTGGTTCTTGGAGTAAGCATGTTTCGAACTTTATCCAAACCTCGCTCCAAGCTTCCCAGCACCTTCCTTCGAGCTGGACTTTGTAATCCACCGGGACTGAAGTTGGTATTTCTAGCATATCATTAAATATGTTATCAAATATTAGGAAATTCCAACGCATAAATTTTTTTTTATGTAATACCTCTTTGGAGTTCTCATTGAGTCAGTTACACATTCAGCAGATCGAGTAGGTGATAAATATTTGGATTTCGGAGTTTCTGGAATTCAACATTAGTAGTAGGTTGAGATTCATGCATTGTTATACGTTAATCAAAATTATTGTGAAGTATCAATTTATACCAGGCATTGGAATTGGTATTCGCTGTGATTTTTTTGGAGATGGATTCTTTGGTCGAATAAAATCCACGCTGTCCACATTTTCCTTGTCATTGTCATCTGGGTCTTGCTCTTTGACCTTCGGGCTTCCTATTGTTAGAAGATCAGTATCATCTAGGCCTCCTTCCATCGATGCATGTCGTGCTGGAGTGGTGGACAACAATTCATTATCACACTCCAAAAACTCAGACTCTAACGACTTTTGGACTCTGTTGCCGAAACCCGGCGGTACCTGTGAATCAATATAAAATTGTATTCAGTTGGAGTTGGTCAACATGTCAACTATGTCAAGTCGAAACAATTAGATATTATTTTATTAATCATAAACCAACCCGGTCAGTGTTCATTCCCCACATTCTGAAATTTCTCACTCCCAAGAGTTCCTTTTGTTGTAAAAGAACCAAATATGTAGCGAGCTCATAAGTGCTGTAATCGAATTGTGATATTATTTTATCCAATGCATGAACCGAAACTCCAGCGTTTGCAGCCATGAGTCGCAATACATCAATATCAAGAATCAATTTGGCCTGTAACAAATTGTTGGCATCAATGATGATTTTTTGCATGCATAAACATTCATTGAAGATATATAGTTACATACAACATGTGAATCTGCATCACAAACGACTGGAAGGGGCTCAGGTTTTCCTTCTTGACACCAAGTATGATTCAGTAATTGGTCGACGGGTAGTCTGAACTCTGGGCTTGTCTGTAGCATGCATCGCAAGATGTTTTTACTCCCTTCGGACAGCCAGCGAGGTTCGTCATATTTGCCATTCTATAAAACAACGAATCCGAATAACATACAAATTTGTACTTGTTTCAAAATCGGCTGACTGTGGTAGTTCTGACGTTACTTTGTATGTCCTACTAGTTGAGTGTGGACGGTAGGAGGAGCAAAATGACGTTAGAACTGTCACAGTCACCCGATTCTACAATGTTTATTCGAATTAGTTCAAGTTTTATAATGCTTGTCCGTACTTGAATTTTTCTGTACAAAATTCCTAGAGTTGGGTCATCAAATGGAAGAGATCCACAAAGTAAAGCATACAACAAAACTCCAAGTGACCAAACATCAGCCAAGGTACCAACATACCGTTGTCCACGGATTAATTCAGGTGCAGCTGAATTATTCAAACAAAGAAATGCTTCGTTATCCGACTTTTCATTAGTTAAATGAACTTTTTAAATTGTTACCATAAGCCGGACTACCACAACATGTTTCGAGCTCGGAATTGGGTCCAGTCTTTAGAGAGGCACAGAGTCCAAAATCGATAAGTTTAACATTATTGTCCGCGTCCAACAAAATATTTTCCTGTCGAAAAATATGTAGTCATTAGTATGCAAATGCATAATATATGTACGTACTGCATACCGGTTTCAAATCTCTATGCGCGATCCCACGACTGTGAACATATGCAATTGCAGATGCAATTTGTCGAAAAATGCGTCGTGCCTCGTCCTCGGTAAGTCGATCCTTTTGAACTGCGAAATGAAAATATAGATTATCAGTCATATTAAAAAAAAACTTGTGTCTAAAATTTATAACTCAATAGATTCAGTACCTATGTAGTCAAACAATTCGCCACCACGACAGTACTCCATGACTATGAAAATTTTGGTTGGTGTGTCCACCACTTGAAACATTTTACAGACATGAGGATGATCGAGGGACTTGAGAGTTTCAATCTCACGATGGACCCTGGGAAGGTCCTCCTGGAAAATTAAATGTATTTGATCATGATTAATAAAGCATTAATATTTACGTAAGCAATTTTTATTCGCCGGATGTGAAATGCATGTGCAAACATGTAAGTTCCAAAAATAGCAATTGTTGCATTTCAAATAGTTAAGTTTTGGTTCAAGTGGTTGCATGATAAAAAAAAAGTAACACGGCAGACATGAAGGTTCATAGCATGGAAGGCATTCACAAACAAACAAAATAAACCGAATAAGGCAGTACTGCCTTAATAAACAACGCATCGTCATCGACAAGTATAGCACAAAACCACCAATGAATGTAAAACGTTATCAGAAAAGAGATAACAAAATATCTGACATTCAAACTGATAAGTGAGTCGCACATACATTTACACACACAATACACTACCAAAATTAAAGGTGGTATTTTAGTGAGTGAATTGTCAAGCAGGAAACAACTGATTACGAGCTAGCAAGTGGTTTATAGTTAGTTGATCCCAGCGAGTGGATAATTGCATACTTACTCCAAGTGTGGCCTTGTCCAATATTTTAATGGCCACTCTGACCCCTGATGTGTGAGTAGCCTTTTTCACCTTCGCAAAGCCTCCACGACCAATTGTCTCGTGGAGAATATAAAATCCCTCCAGCGCTGCAAACTCATTTTCTCGCATCTTTGTTCTGAAAACACATTTAGACACGTTTTATATTTATGCAAAATTCAGATATTTTGAATGGTGACAAGTGACAATTGTGAGTAGAGTAGTGTAGCTAGAGTGAGGAATCTTTTATCCTGTGGATAAGTAACCAGAAAAAGTTCTACGATAGATAACAGAGGAACAGGTGAGTTATTGATTGATGATCTCATGTCATAATTCATAATTAAATCGAATCCTTAAATCCTGCTACATGACGTACATGACACAGACACAGTCTAGCCTAATCAAAATTCAGCAGACAAAGGTACATATTTTGCGTTCATATTTAGATATGGAATAACAGCCTGTACCAAACGATAACAATTATGGAAGTATGAATTTAGGTTTTTGTAATGCAAATTGCATTATGCAATACATTGTAAATTACAGTGTAGTGCAGTAGAACAAGTTTAACTGTATAGTTCAGCTCTGAATTTACAATCAAATTATCCCATTATAAAAGATTCCTTATTAATAACACAAAAAAAATAATCGTTTATGATTCATGTACCGTAATTCATGATCATGATACATAGCTTTATATACCTGTTGCTTGTTCACCGTTGTTCGTAGTGTTGAATATTTTAATGGTACGTGTCCGTGTCTGTCCTTTTGGGTTCGAAATCCAGTCTTTAACAAGCAAATCCTAAATCAAAACCGGAAATGAAACGAAATGTGCACAAGATGCGGATCAATCAATTGTGGCAGTTGCAAGTTAGTGCTGCTGGTACTGCTGCTTGTTCCCTCGTCGGTTGAACACAAACGGTCGCCGTATCCACGTTGCCCCTCTGAAAACAAATCATCATCATCTCATCATCAGAAGTGCTATATAAATAATCCACTCGTTGACTTCATTTTCATATGGATGCATCGCAGGATAATCTTTTTCGAAATCTGAGCCCTTCCATTTTCATGCAGCTCAATTTGCTTATGTTTCCTTAAAATTTCAATTGCCCGAGATTTGTGCGATTCGAAGCCAAGCAATAGAAATGTTCATGAATGAATGGGAAGCTGAAGACCATAACTTTAAGAAGGTGACGACGGAGTGGGAATCTTGGGAAAGATTCAAAAATATAAATATTGGACGATTTTGTTTTCCAGATTTTGCATTCAACTTGGTTAAATACATGTTGGTTTTTGTAGTTTTTCAAAATTTGCAATTATTTCCATTTAGTTTTTACTAATTTCTTGAAAGATGTATCAATAACATAACGAGTGGAATTATTAGAGAGGTGGTGGTCCTGCAAATAAGTAATTGAGGTTGCAGACGTCAGAGTAAGTCTGTGGATGAGTATTGTATTGGTGTTCACGATTCATTTACTAATGGAGGTGGAGTGTCGTCAGAAGAAGGGCGTGAAAGGAAGCGTCTCAATTCTGATAGTGCCGGAAAACAAATTAAGTGGGAGGTGGTTTAGTATTCATTGCTAACTAGTGTAGCTCGTACATCGTAGGAGAAACGCACACAATGACGACATTAAAACAGTCTCGTAGTTTTTTGGCGTGTATGATGCAACAGATGTAAAATGAAAATTACATCTGAACAATTCTGTCATTCTCCATGTATTAGGTAATGTTGGCATTAGATTTAGTTGCACGTTGTAGAGCTAAATAAATATTGCACTGGATTTGACGATGCACTTGACTTGATATTAATTTTGTTCTTATTCTATTTTTGTACTTATATATAGTGACTTGCGTTGGAGTAATTTGGAGGCCCCTAATTAAGTAGTGCAGTTAGCAGAACTACAAAATGACCAGCAAACGTCTCGGGTACTGGTTGAGTTTGAAAAAGTCAAGAAAGCTGTCACTGCCGGATATCGAGGCGTCTTTGAGGTATTTAAAATATTGCTACTTCTCGCGACTTGCTTAAAACGTGGTAATGACAACGTACAACTTTATTTTTGCAGATCTCGAGACGTGGAACCTGTGAAGGTATGCTGAAAGATTAAAATAACACGCGATAATGTATAAAATAAACTTATATTTTTAGATTGACTTGGAAAAACCATTGGCCGATCAAGGCCCGTTCGACTGCATTTTACATAAGCTCACAGATTATATTGCACAAGCAGAGTCTGGGGACCAGGAAGTTAGTATAAACGCCAATTAAAAAATTCTTATAAAATATTTACATTAATTATAAAATATGTTTGGTATGTTTACAGGCAGAATTTATAATTTCCAATGTCCAGGAATACTCGAAACAACATCCTGCCATGCTTGTGATTGATTCCATTGACTGTCTGAGACTGCTCATTAATCGTTTCAAAACATACGGCATGATTGACAGTGCCACGGAGTTCATGCAAGGTTTGATTTTTGTTAGTTTTACATTCAACACACATTTCTTCTCTATTTAAGTTCAAGTTGAATTGTAAAATAGAATTGTGTTTGTATTTTTGATTGATTTACAGGGACTACTTTCGTTCCAAAATTTGTTGCACTTGTGTCAAATGATTTTAATACAAACTTAAAGCTTTTGCACGATGCAGGCGTAACTTTTCCTGCAGGTTAGTAAAACAATTCACTACAATACATAATGTAGGATTATGTAAATGTATATACATATGTATTATTGTCATATGTATACAGTTTGCAAACCCGTTGTGGCTCATGGCGAAAACGCTCATCAAGTAAGTTGGTAATTTATTTTTCTACAAAAAATAATTTAAATACTGACTAAAGTTTAATTTATTTTCAGATGACTTTGATTTTTAATGAGAAAGGGCTCCATGAAATTGCGTTTCCGTGTGTAGTTCAATCATTTATTAATCATAATGCTGTGTTATACAAGCTCTTCACTTTGGGAGAAAAATATTTTTTAATTGAAAGACCATCAATCAAAAACTTCCACAAATGCGAAGGTATTATTATAAGTACTAAATGAATATTTTATTTTTCATGACTAAAAATGATTATGGATTTAATTTTTTGAACAGAACATGCACCGATTCATTTCGACGGCAATGAAGTATCAAAGGCTAATTCAATTAACATTCTAACCGTTCAAGAAAACTCTGTTGAAGATCGGTCAATTCCTAAACCTCATCATGAAGTGCTGCAATTAATTGTACGAGAAATTGGAAAAGCAATGGGGTTGCGACTCTTTGGAGTCGATGTGGTTGTGGATGCAGTCTCAGGAAGGTACATTTATTTAGTCGCCATTAAAAACCCGTATATTTATCCTGTTAACCCATTTGCTTTAATTTTCAGATATGCCATTGTGGATGTGAACGCGTAAGTTTAATTGTTTTAATGAGTTTTTTACCAATCAAGCCCACTAATTATTTATTATAATGTATATATTTGCGGACTTGTAGGTTTCCTGGTATGTTATAAAAAAAACTTTCATCAATTTTCGCACACACTGTAGAAATAGTAATGTACTGACCGCATATGTATTTTTAGGTTATGATGGAGTCACGGATTTTTCTGAACTACTTGCAGATTACATAAAACAAGAACTGGACAATCAATTTTGCCAAACTTCGTAGATCTCCATGCAGAGGGGTGCAACAGCCAAGCAATCTAACTACTCTATAATGATTCTAAGCATAATTAAATGTGACGTAGCTTTACCATGACAGGTTATTTGTACGGCTAACTATATGATTTGTACGTACCGTATAATATATTTAAAATGTGATTTTTTCTGCAATCAAGTATTTAAACAACTTTAGTGATGCACCACAATAAGAGTATCCAATTCAGACCGCAATAAGGTCTTTAACTATTGATTCGAATATATAAAATATTAATTATATTATTATATGATATTATTATTATTACGTAATTATCTACATTAAATTTCTCTACCTCAGTGGAAGTGATGTTAAGACTTTTATTATGTGTATCACCAGTGACATTACCTATTCCAATGTGAACCAAAGCCTTCCATTCGTATATGCAATGAAGTGAATGGTAGAAGTCCAAATAAGTGTGATTGATTGAATTAAATAGTATATATTACAGAATCATTATCTACAGTATTTTAAACTCTGGTGCTTTTAAGATGAAGTAAAATTAAACTAAATATATTCTCTACGTGTATCTGTAAAACTTTCCATAAATTTTGAATTAACTATATAGTAATTAAATAAATATTTTCATGAATCCTTTAAATATCTCTTTTCTCTTATTCCTCCACGGAACGTAAATAATTCACTCGTAATCTGTATTAAGGAACTCTGTTCTTGTTTTGTTTTAAAGTTACATTTTTTAAATAAATTGCATCGTCAATCGTCAGAAAAAAGAATCTGACGGTGAAGATATTTGACTTCAGTCAGACGTTGTGCAAGACACAGTACAATAAACCCAATTTGGGCAACAATAATACCTGCTTCTTATGGTCTGCTGGTTGGTCAGTCCTTTACCTGTCTCACATTTTCTTTATTACCCAGCCAGCTTCCCACTTCCTCAGGCAGTCCATAAAATACTGTCTTGAAACATTTTCAAGTATGGAGAAGAGTTTTTGAAACTTGACCTAATTCATGGAAAAATGTGAAAGCACGGCACATGTCCAGCCGAAGAGAGAGTCGAGGAAAGGGAACTAATATTAATCCCTTCACGCCACGCCAGAAATGGAAATCTCTATGAATATGTAATAACAACGCGGTGAGATAATTACCCTTCTCGCGTCCTACGCATAATATAACATCCACTTTTCCAAAGGGTCACAAGAGTGCATCCCTATTTGTTATCTTTGACATTAAAAAGGAGTGGAATGTTGAACCCTCCTTCTGGCTCGGATTGTTGCTGAGATTGAACAACGTATACATAATGTAGTCGTAGCAGGCCAAGATAGGTTCTAAGTCCTGTCACAGAGCAGATGATTCGAATAAGGGCTTTTACTACTTAATACAAAGTCCTGCATCAGGAATCCTGCTTCAGGATTTGGGATACTTAAGACGATACCATAAAATATGCAAGCATTGAATAAGGATTTATTTCCTCTGCTACTTACACATTCGTTTTTTTAGAACATCATATGTAATAATATGTATACGGACCAACTGGATAGCATTCTGTAAGCCCTTCATAATAAAATGATGACAAAAATAAGGTCACATTTCATCAATGCTTACGTTGCATGCATATATTTTCTCTGATTAGATATTGTTGGATTTTCACTAATTTGAAAGTTGCGACCTTCCTTTCGCTTAAACCTTGTCGTATATTAAGCAACCTCAAATGGAATGCCAGGTTAGAATCGAATCCATGAAAATTGAGAAAGTAAAATCGTTATTAGCCAAAATTCAGACAATAATTATCATCAAATTCAATTGATGAAGCCATCTGGTTTGATTTCATATTATGCTGCATTTATGTGGCTGTCATAAGTATTGAAATCAAAAGGAGGTGTAGCAGAGAGGAATAAATTGCACACAACTTTTGTACAAAAAGTGCACGAGGCGTTACGATGGGAAAGAGGAATACAGACAATCGTGCTGCTGGAGAATGTGGAAGAGCGAGATCTTTAAGATGAACTCGACTTTTTGTCCGTTTCTAATTTCTGGACCAGGTTTGGTTTTGGTCCTTCGTGGCAAGTATAAGGCAGCCAAAGATGTTGGAGGACGAACTGGACGAGTGCAAGAGATTCCAAGGTTCTGAATCACGTCATCTGCACTCACACTGCATTTTCCAGTATGATTTGGAGGGATGATGCTCTGGGCTGAGAGATTTCATCCAAGCTGCTCTAATGCTTATGCACGTATCGTGGCGTTAATGGCATTGAATGGTCAAACAAATTCCCTACAAATACATGCAACGAGCTGACCATGAAATGAGTACCTCTGGCTGGATATAACAGGTGGATATGGCTTCGGGCTTCGTTCGTTTTGCAATATTTTGTCACATAAAACCAATCCGAGTCGTTGTGTTACTCAACAATCGTTGGATTTGACTTTGTACTACTTATCATGATGATATGCATTCCGCTGTAAATTCAATTCAGCTCAACAATTAATAATTTTATTACTGGCGAGCAATGAGAGAAGCCTTTGCTGCCTCGTTTGACCATTTTGTATAAGAGATCATCAGGTGGAAAAGCACACCTGGGATCCCTTCATTCATCCCCCTCTGCATGGATTGTTGAATTGAAGGAAAGCCTCCCACCCAACCACCCCATCCATCCATCCACCATCATATTGCTGCTCTGCTGCTGCGAGACTCTTTGAATTGTGAGGTACGAAATGCGGATCAGAATAAGAGATGCAGGTAACAGAGGCCGTGTTGTGGAAATGGATGGATTTCGTGGGGCTCTGGCATCGAGATCTATCCTAACAATGCTTAATTCTTGTTTTACCTGTAAGTTCTACCTGACTCAAGTTTGTAGAAGTATGTCCCTCGTCTAGCAGGCAGGTAACTGAAAATATTACACTATGCGTCCCTCGTGTACATATTTTACGTCTCAAATACTACAGGTACGAGCAGTTGTTGTCTGTTACGTTACCTGTGCATTATAATAACCACCTTGCTTGCTTGCGATCTATTACCAGGCTGCTCTTTTGCTGACGAAGTTTTAGTTACAACTTGGATATGTCCGACACAACTGTCGACTTTGAATGGTAGTGAACTTGTTTTCTTCTTTTCTGTCTCCACTCTAATCTAGGTTTACAAACTGGTGAGTAAACAAATAAGGAAATCGGAGGTGAACGGTGTGCAAAATTTATTTTGGCAAATTTTCCATAGACAAGCTGAGATTTTGAATATTAAACAAGTGTCGGATCTTCTATGTAAGAGGTCCGAATGCACCCTCACAATTTGCAACCCCATGAACAAGCCCTATGCAAAATGTGCGTGTAAACTATCCAAGAAAGGACGAAAAGTGCGAGTGGAAAAAGACATCAATTTATTGGTTTTTTAGCCTAGCGTACATTCTTCATAAGAAGAGTCGCGAATTACGGGACTTGAAGACTACGGGTCTGGCAATAAGACATTAATCCAGCCTTTTACAATAAAAAAGATTCGATGACCCGTTGGACATTTTCTCGTAAACTTATGCAATGTAGAAATGTGCAGTGAATTGCGAACTGTTTCACCGCCGTCAAATTTTTTACGTTTGTAGAAAGCAGCAATTACTTTGCTTGTGCAGTATTATTTTTTCCACAACAATTCCACTATAAAGTACGATACATGTGTACAAATAAGTGTTATGCAGAAGATCAGTTGACCTTTTAACAACTAATTGTTTCTTGACCGGTTTTTCTTTTGTTTATTCACAGTTCTCGTTGTAATAGTGCTTGTTGTGCTGTGCTTTTGTTTTGTGTGATATTGTGTGTGATACAAACTTCGTAGATTTTTTATTGGCATCTTCTCCTCGGGTTGTGACCGAGTCAAATAAGAAGCGGTATATGGGTCACTGCTGCCGAAGGGACCAAAACAGTCGAGATGAAAACTACAATCAAAACTGCTCTAATGATGTACGAATTTGCATTAAAGTAACGAGGACTGGTGATTTTAAACGCGGTTAAATATTAAATTGTGTATAAACTCTGCACGACGGGAAAGTATTTATTGGATCTAAACATCAGGTATGCGTTCACTTTTATGTCACATGTATTTGACGCTTCATTGGTTATAAAAAAACTGGATGACTGGCTGGATATATAAATAAATGCTGATTTAGGATGATGAGACGCGTCACTGGCACAAAATTGTGGTACCAATGTTGTCAAAAACTCCCCAAGCAGTTTAGAAAAACGACTTGACTAAATAGCTCTTCTTAAAGTATATATTTGTCTATTCTTTTTCTAAAATTTAAAATTTTTCTCATCTTCACGTCCAACTCATTTACTTGCTTTGTCTTCCCCTTGATTTTTTTCTCAATGTAATCTGTGATTGAAATCTTTCATTTTCTGCTTCATGGTTGAAACAATCCCAAACGATTTCTGCAAAATAATATTCTTTGATGATTGTGATTCCAATCTTTCGATTATATTGCTCGATAAATCTCGTGGGTGACGCGAAATCAGAAATCCCATGAATTGAGAAAAGATCTCGTCCTTCCATCTCATTACACGCTTAGAGTGTCAAATTGTCTACGATATAGTTTTACAACCAGGAATAAATTTAAGGCTTATCATCAATTATCCACTTTCTATTTCTAACTTTAAGATAAGCCCAACAGAATATGTATTCCTTATGCAAAGCTTCAAAATAATAATGCAATGCAATCAGTGGTTATTATAAAATAGGTCACAGAATCCATCCATTATAAATTGTCATCATAAATTTTTGCACATGCATCGGAAGCTTATTTAATTTTTAAGCTGAACTTCATACTCCGAGTCGAACTGCGGTCCCTGTTGCTATTTTTTGTTTACAAACAGGTCCCATTTGATTTATACTCACAGTCGCTTGTTCTTACAATAGACCAAGCAACATGAGAAAGGAAGCGAATGAAAGCAAATGACGAGAAGAACAACTTGCACGTATTAGCAAATGACTGACTGGCTGTTGAAAGCAAACAGAATTATGAGCTATTAATTTGGCTTTAAAGCTGTAAATTTGTTTTAGAGAGTGACTGATAACACTTACACACGGCCAAAGCCAAGTGCTGTTTACTGTGCAATTCTGACTGGCTGATGATAACGCAACGGATGAGGAAGCACAGACCTACTTCAAAAATCATGATTTTCCCATCATTCAATTTCTCTGCAAATATAATCTCATGATGTCTTCGTGCTCGTCAATTTATGACACTCGAATGAGCCAGTCCAACGCGTTGACTTTTACCGACGGTTGAAAAGTGAAAACTTTAACACATTATCATGCGTTTGATGTAGAAATAAATAGACCAAAAAAATAGAGAGAAAAAACCGGAATGCCGATTAAACTTTGTTCAATTAGCCACGTATGTATTGGTTGAAAGTGGACGCATTTGTCTATCTTGTCAACTCCAAGCGGGTCATTAAGATAAGGTGGATTGGAATTGAGTGACATTTAGTGATGCGAGCAATTAAAACACTTATTCACGCATTCATTCTCATCACGTTGCATTGTTGTCGCTGGCAGATGACAAATAATTGGAGGAAATAATACGCAAAGAATACTGTCCCCAAAAATTTTTGAGACGGTGGTGGCTTCTGGGCTGGATAATTTACTTATAATTATTCTAAAGA